AACAGCAAGTAAAAAGAAAAGCTAAGTTTGTTTGATAATGGAAGGTGGCGAAAAACAATTGAAAAAATATTCTTTAATTAGATACTCACAATATCTATATTTCTTTTTTCTTTGATATTTTGGCCACAATTTTTGACAAAAAGTAGGGAATTTGGCAAACCCTCTACCAAATATTGACAATGTTTACTACTTCTATATCAGGAAACTATACGATAACAAAACAACATGTGTAAAATGGATAGTGCTGGCAAATAAAGTAATTAAATCAAGTACCTGAAAGAGGTACCTCACATGGTGTGTTGTTTTTAGACGTACAAACATGTGCGATATAGGCATGGAGCTTCAAAGTTCTTATATACTTTCAGACAATGATATAGATTTATTACAGAAAGAAGAAGCAAAGTGAAATGAGATATACAGACATTCTTATAGTTATATGTATATAATTTTTATCCTCTAGCATGAGTTATAGTGCATGTTAGTTTTTTTTCTTTTTTTGATATGTCAAGTTTCTTGCAACAAGTCAATATGAGTAGTTCATTACTTTGTATAGATAAAGTTTTTATCTGGTTAGCAGGTTTTCTTTATTCTAGCAATAGTTTTTTATAGGTTTTTAAATTAGTTTTTAGATTCTTTTTATATTAGTACCCGTTTTCATATATGTATTTGTTTTTGTTTTTTCCCTTTTGTTTTTATTTAAAATTTTTTTTTTTTCTTTCTCTATGAGAAAGTGTTATCAGATTAGTGGTATTTTATTGTAGAGCAGAAATCTTGACACGGCTCGCAAATTGCTAGTTGAGAATTCTAGATGAAAAAAGTCTGAAGCAAGTTTCAGACCTTTGGAGAAGGCCAAGGGTTTGCTCAGGCAGGTCAACTTGGGCATAAAGCATAAGCAGTTTAATGATTCACCCTAACTGCAAATAGAAGCTTTGGCAACTGCGTGGCTAGTTTGGGTAGTTTAGCTGATGGTTTGAGAATAATAGATTCTGTAGTTAGTATATGCCTCATACTATCAAGGTTTTTTCTTACAAATAAAGCAAACAAATTGCCTTAAGAATAAAAAAAAAATATAATAGTATTATAGTATTATTTTATAGTATAATCATTGTAGAATAATATTATTATAATTATTTTTGGTATTATTATTGTATAATAGTAATTTAAATAGTAGTATATAGCATTATTACAATAATATATATTATTATTACAATAGTTTGTAGTATTATTGCTTTATTTTATAGCATTATTTTATAGGATTATCTTATAATATTGTAGTTTATAATATTATTATATAGTATTATTGAAAGATATTTAAATCTTACCTTTTTTCTCAAAGCAAAGTGACATCAATATATATTTTTTTTCACTTTAGCTATCTTGCCAGTGATTCTTTATTAAGATTATTGTATTACAGATATAATATAATGTTAAGTTTAATTTCTAGATCTGATATCCTATAGTTACTTCAAGAGTACTTATAAGTGACTAGCTACACCAGGCCAAATTTTCCAAAAGAGATATTGATAACCTAAGTCAACTTCAAAAGACTTATATTAGACCACTACTCTATAATAGAATACTACCAATTTGATAGTATTTTCTTGTAGAGAAGTAAAAAATCAAAAAAATGATACTAATATTAAGAGAGCTTTTAGAAATTAGCTAATTTATTTTTACTATAAGATTACTCCACTTACTAATATCTAATACAAAAAAAAACTAAAATATTTAAAAATAGAACTAGAGCTTTGATCTTATTTTTAATAGACAATCTGGGTTCTATTAAATCAGAATTGAATTCAAATTAAATTATATATAAAGCTAGCTTTGTAACATATTCTTAGATTCATTAATTAAGTTCTTTAACCAATCTGAGTAAAAATATTTAATCTAAATATCTGAATTTATCTGGATTTAAAGATCAATTCAGATAGTCAGATTAAAGATCGAAGCTCTAAATAGAATTTAAAAACTAATATAGAATATATACATATTGTATATTATATATTTTACTTTAAAAATTAATTATATATATATCATATATTGGAATAGAATTATTGTAGATTTAGAATCTACTTAGATTAGAACAAAATTTTAAATAAAGTTCAAGTTGATATGAAATATAAAAGCAACTTGAATTGTTTCTAAAGTTGATACTGTATAATTGATAAAATTAAATTTGATACTATAATAAATATATAATCAATTGATATATGTTATGATAAATTGTAAGATAAATATAAATTTATTATTTTTTCCTTATTTTACTTTTTTATTTTTTATAATTTTAATTTTTCTACTTGATAGCTAAATCTCAAAGTTATCATTTTTATCTTGTAATATATTCAAAGATTTGTTTTCTATATTTCTTAGTAATAAATTGGTTAATAGATGATATAAAATCTTTATAACATATAAAAACTTTAATTTTTGTATTAAAGTTTTATAAGATCTAGTAAATATAATAATTAGAAATAAAGAATATAGTAACTTAGTGAAGTAGTAAAGTTGTCACACCCCAAGCAGCATATCTAGAGTTCGAATTTTACTGTTGACGAAGTTTGAATATTCTGTTGTGGAATGGTTACTATCTCTTATTGATTGATCAGATTTAGAATCTATAACCAAAATCATATCAGATATCTGAAAGGATTATTATCTATATAAAATCAAGAAACTGAAGAGATATATACCTGCTTGGCAAGACCCAAGTGAAGAAATAGCATAAACTTTTAATAGTATTACATAAAAGATTATCATTAGAAAAAACTAGAAAACTGAACAAGACTGAGGTATATAGCAAAGTATCTACCAACCAGGTCATCAGGGCTAGAAAAAAAGAATCTGCTTAATTGCGGTTACCAGGAGACTAGTAACTTACAAGCAAAAGTTCCTTCCAAGCTATTTGGATTGGTAGTTCAGACTAGCTAGATCAAACTAGGAAAACTGAATAGACGAAGTGTTTAAAAAAGTATTTCTACCAACCAGGCTACCAGAATCAGAAAAAAAGGATCTGCTTAATTTGCGGTTACCAGAAAACTGGTAATTTTTATGTAAAAGTCCCTCTTAAACTATCTGAATTGGTAGTTTGAAATTCAAAAAGTACTTCTAATAGTCTGTAAAGTAGATACTAGGGTTTGAGTGAATTCTACAAGAGCAAAAAGTAGATAATAGTAGCGACTTCAGCTCGCAAGTACTTGTTCTTAGACTCAGCGTAAGTTACTGAAGTCTAGGTTAGCTAGATTGTAAGTACAGAAAGCTCTAGCAGGTTTATCTTGAAGATAAAGAGCTTTCTAAAATAGTTGAAGCTTGTTTTAAAATCCTAAGCCAGATGTCTGAAAATAAGGGTCTATACTAGATTCTTGTTTAGTTATAAAGCTTAACCCTATAGGTGCAGAGGATTTAAATAGGTAATCTCCTAGTTGGATTATAGATATAGCATCTAGTATTAAACTTAGTAATAAGCGAACTACTTAAATCTACTTAAATAGAAAATCAAAAGTTGTATATGTGGCTAGTATATATCCTCCAAATATATATACTGTATAGGCTCTAATAGGAGCTTAACATATAGTAAAATTAACTAATAACTGAATAAAAGGAGATAACCAAGAGATTATCTTAATATTGAAAAAAAATAATAATAATAATTAGAAATGCAAAAGATCATTAATGCATTTGCAATTCGAGCACTGGAATACAAAAAAAGACCCAAACACATTATCGATCACGTTAAAAAAATATAACGGTTGCAAACTCAACCAAGAGAAGCAAGAGGATATATGCAGAGCATTAATGAAGAAAGAAGTATCGCAGGTGTTTATCACGAAATATGTAGACAAACAGAGAGGAAATGTTCTGAAAATTAACCAAGAAGCTTTCAAAACTATACAATGGCTTCCAAGATCTGAAATATTACCAAATGAAAATAAAGTACATGAGGTTCAGTGCTATGATTTGGATATTGAAATCATTAAGAGCAATATATTAGTAAAAAAATGAAAGAGGACCTCATAGACAAAAATGCTGAGTTGAGAAAAAGCTCAGCAGTGCAAATAATATTTTACACTGATGGATTATTAAGAGGTGGTGGTACATCCAGACAGAATGAACCAGCCAGGATAGAAGCTGGTTAAGTACAAGTTAATGAGAATGAAAGCCAAAAATTAAATGAAAGCTTTTTTGGAGCAAGAAACTGGTTTTCATCGACAAAAGCTAAGCTGCTCAGTATTTGATACGTACTTCTTTTGGTAACAAGTAAGAAAAGAGTAAAGATCTATACGGATAGCACATTAACGATAGGTGTTATAGAAGGGAGGGAACTTAAAAAAACAACATAGAAAATTTACAAAGAGAAAAATCATAGTCTAGTAAGTAGTATAGTTAACTTAGTTAAGATTAAAGAAATACAGCTAAAATTAGTAAAAGTTAAAGATCATAGCGAAAATAGATAGAATAGTTTAGCAAATAGTTTAGCAAAATTAGGCGCTAAGATAGAAGATAAAGATGTTATACAGGGGAGTAGCATATTATTGTGGATACTTTTAAAAAAATTTATATTAAGCTAAATAAGCAAGATATTAAGTCCAAAATTATATAAAACATTGCTTAAATTTAAGACTTTTAAATAAAAAAAAATCCATAAATTCTATGCAATAGTTGTTAAAATAATTAATTGATAATCCAGTTATAATCAGCACTAATTTATATATGTAATTTGGGGTAAAATTTGTCGATCTATTAAGTACTTTTTAAAAGTATATAAAATCTCGTATTTGACAAGTTCTTTACAAATAAGTAATTTCACATGATAGACAATGTAACTTTGTACAAAAAAGGTCATAAATTTATATTCTTTTAAAAAAAGTGAGATGTTACTTCGATAAAAAAACTATTTATTATATACGAACGCCAGATTCCACGATTTTATAAATATAATAAATGTCGGATTCCAATACATGACTTTTATCATATGAAGTAAGTAACCTAAGAAAATATACCTATTTCAATATCTCGGAGGTTTCAGATACCTCCAAAGAATGTCTTGCCATATTTTGCTTCCACTTGCGACTAAAAGTCGCAATCCAGTTATTAATAGTGAATACTTTTGGAACATCGCTTTGATCAAATTCACCGCGTTGAGCCCGTTTCAATAGTTCATCATACATTTCTTGACCTGTAAATTTGTTTTTGCTGTCCGCTGTCCCCGCATGAAACATATTTTCTAATAAATTTCTGATTTGTTCTGTTATTCGTTTCCAAGGTTCTCTCTGATTATTTTTTTCATTTTCAGCAAGAGCCCACCCTAACGAATACCTGTCATGACTAAGTTGAGAATAAGTAGAGTTTA